GACGCCGCCCTTAGCTCCGACAAGCCCCCCATCGCGTAATATTAACAAAATCAACATTGAACCCAATTCAATAATCATAGATTTGGGGTGATTTAAATCCAGAGTATGTTCTTTAAGTTGATTAAATAGTAAATAAGGTTGATATTTAAAATAGGTTGACAATACTATTTACTTGTAATAATCCAACTAAATTAGTCAATTAAGCATTCTGTGCTATATAGAATTTATTTATAACAGCAGAATTTTATTGCACTAAGGAATATCGATTTGATTTATTTAACTATGAAAAAGGTTTGAATCCCTGTGTTCCAATTTGTGGTGATGGATTTGTAGTGGATGAAGAATAATGTGAGGATGGAAATAAGGATCCATTTGATGGATGCTTTAATTGCCAATATTAATGTTAAGAACATTGTCAACATTGTGTATAGGGGGTATGCTTATTCGACTAGGAAGGAGAGGATGATAATTAGAAATTTTTTGAAAATGAAGTAGTTAGCAAAGAAGAAATCTATTACAATGATAATTAAATTACTGATGATAGTGCTGAGTGTTAGGTTGAATGTTTAATTTGCAAGGATGGGAATTGCTATCAATGTATGGAAGGCTATTATCTTGAATAAATAACTTAGATTTGCTATCTGCAAATAATAGATTAATAATATACTACAGAGATTCAAAACAATACTCAAATGCGTAATATTGATGGTAGTGATTGTTAGAGAGAATGTTTAAGTTGTAATTTTGGGCTTTGCTATCAATGCATGTAAGGCTATTATCTTGATTTAATAACTTTGAATTGCTATCTGCTAATTATAGGTTGTAATAATATAAAATCATACTCTAAGGAGATTCAAAAATATACTACAATGAGTATTTGTGAAATTGATATCCCTTATTCAACTTTAGATAGTATCTACTAAGATCCTGATTATGTATGTATAAACTGTTTGACTTTCGAATATCAGAGTTGTAATAATAAATGCTCTTTTTGTTATCAAGGATAGTGTTTTTAATGCTAATCTGGATACACTCTATTTGAAAATCTAGATTGTCTTTCTATTTGTGGTGATGGTCTAATAAATAAAGACTAAACAAACTAAGAATTAAACGAAGATTGCGATAATCCTTTTGATGAAGGATGTCAAAATTGTGTGGTTTAACCTGGTTATAAATGTATAAAAGAAGATAGTTCATTATGTTGGACATGCGATTCAAAATGTTTAAAATGCGTAGTTGATGAAGATGATCAATTATTATGTTAATAGTGTATTGACGGTTATTATGGTTTAAGTAGTCTTTGTTACATATGCGATGATAATTGCATAACGTGTAAAGATGATTCAGCTCTATGTACATCATGCTATAGAGATGATTGCTAAAAATGCGAAGCTATACCTGGTTTATACACAGATTATGAAATTAAGAAATGCATGCCTTAATGTGGAGATGGTATCAAAATTCAGTATTATGAATAATGCGATGATGGTAATACAATTGATGGAGATGGCTGTGATTCAGAATGTAATTTCGAATTCGCTTAAGAGTAATATTCTATTGGAATTAAACGTCTTAATGGAGCATCTTTTAATGATCTCAGTATAATTCAAGATTCGTATATACAATTGAATTGTTAGAAAACAACAGTATCTATTGAGGGTTTCGATAAAGAACAGTTCATCTATAATTCTACTAGCAGTGATATTGGATGTAAAATTTAATTTTAATTCTTCAAATCGATCTATAAAACCAATCTAATACACATCTATATACAATTTCAAGAAGTTTATACTAGAATACTGGAAGAACAACTCTAACAATATAAGGAAATTTAAGTGGATCCAATTGAATAAATAATTTTAGATGATAGTCAATAATCCTAAGCTGATGCTATTTCTAATGCTCAATCTAGTCTATCTTTATTAATTTTGATTCTAGCCCCACTTTCAATTCTATTTGGCTTATTTGATTATTTATCGGGCAGTCCTGGAAATCCTGAGTTGGATAAACAATTTCTACTTTTTCAATGTTAATTTTCCATTCAATGTTTAGGTCTTATTTTTGAATAGTGATTGGTCATCAATAGTCAATTTTCCAACCTATTAAGATTTGAATCAACCAGGATGTGATTATTATTTTGAATCACCTCCAAGATTCTCTGAAAAAGGTGTTGATCCACTATTTATGAATAATGCTTAAGTACCTGCCTTTTTTATTTTTACCTCCATTATACTATACTTTGTGGGCTTGCTAATTGAATTCTTCTTCAAAGCAATAGATAAGATTTTTGAAAAAAAAGTTCCATTACATAACCATACAACATTTTCAATGTAAAAATAATAGGATGTTTAATTACATCATCAAAATCAATCTTCATATTTAGTTAAATCGAATAAATATACTTAATATTTGGTTTAAAAGCTAAAAATGGTGACTCAGAGTTTTTAGAGTAGAATTAAACAAACAGTAACACTGTGTCTATTAGATTTAACTATGGCTATTACACTTCAATTAATTTTTGGAAAACAATATTATCATAGTATGATATTAATCAACACTATTCTTGCACTATTATTTTGTCTCTTAATAATATTTTAATTAAGACAGTCATATTATGTTATAGGTATTCATA